GGTCTACCCTTCAAAGTAGCCATTTTCTCCAGGGGAACTGATCTCTGTCATCTGGAGATCAATTGTAACAGTGGGAGATCTCCAGGTCCCACCTGGAGATTGGCAACCCTAGGGGACGTCAGCTGCACAGCAGGGGGTTGAAGAGAATGGTTTGATGGCTGCTGGGCCAAGATTGGCAACAATAGTTCCCCAGGAGCCCCATCGTAAATGCACCAAACAATTCCTAAAGATTTTCCGAAACACTACTCTGTCGATAAATTGCAACAGTTTGAATTAGCACCAAAGCTTTAAGAGCTCTCCAGCTGTCACCTGGAGAGTGGCAACAGCTTGTCTGGAGTGTGGGCAGTATGGCATTGTATCTGTCTGAGGTCCCCCTCTTCCTCCTCCTCCTCAGACCCCACCCTCAGCAGGCTTCATCCCTAAAATATCCTGGAAGTTTCCAACCTGGAGTTGGCAACCCCATGTCCTTTCCTGGCAACCATCAGCCAACCTGCCTGTCTGTCTTAAGTTTTACAACCTTTCCATATGCAAAAGACCTTGAAGGTTCCATATGCAACTGACATTCTAACTGCCTTGCGGGGGGGGGAGTTTGAGGTGTGGAATGGAGTGACGTCCAATCAGCTTCCATATGCAAATGACCTTGGAACGCTGGGCGGGACTGCACAAAGCAGCCAGTCAACTCAGCCAGTGTCTTCTGAGTGGCAGTTTTTCCGGCCTAACACTAAAGGAGTGCATTTTGGAATGTTGCAAAATAGAATGTTCACTACTCAATTATATATAAGGAGAGATTCCTTGCTCTGCAAATTGATCACAAGTCTGTATGTTTCCCTTATTCTTCCTTTTATCTATCAATTTAAATCATGGCTCAGTGGAAGAGCATCTGCTTGGCATACAGAAGGTCCCAAGTTCAATCCCTGGCATTTCCAGTTAAAAGGACCAGGCAGTAGATGATGGAGAGCCACTGCCAGTCTATTGACACTGATGGACCAATGGTCCGATTCAGTATAAGGCAGTTTCATGTGTTCATATTTTCATGTATATAGCCCTCAACTGAAAGTAGAGGGGGACAATATCCATCCATTTTATCTGACATTTTCTCACAAGATAGAATCACAAACTCCCTTCCAACCAATCATTAACATTTATAAATATATTCAATTCAATTACATCTCTGTAGTCTAATAGTGGATGGCAGATAAGGAAATATGTAGGTTAAAGGTTCTGTGTAGCTGAGAGTACTTGGCTGATTAGTAGTAGTCCATTTTGCATGTGCAGGGAACGCTCTGTAGCTGGCCTTGCCGCCGCCGCCTCCTCCTCGGAGCTGGGCGGGCGGGGGGGACCGGCCTCGCCGTTGCCGAGCCCGGCAAAGGGGGGGAGGACCGGCCTCTCCGCCGCCGCCGCGGAGCCCGGCCGGGTCGGAGGCGGGCGGGGGGGGGGGTGGAGGACTGGCCTCGCCGCCGCAGCCTCGGGGAGATTGAGGGGGG